CCTGCGCCTGGTCCTGAGCCCCAAGAGGACGGTCAACACAAGCTGGTGGACACTGGAAGAAGTGCAAGAAGGAGATGTCACAGATGCTATGAAATCCTGTCAAAAGACGAAGGAAGAACATATGCAATGAGGAAAACTCCGCAGTCAAAGTTGTTGCGACGCATGCAACAAGAACTTCTGCTTGGAGTGTTTTTTTTCTTGTCCATAAGGCTATGCCGGTATTGTAGTTTTCATTGAGCTGAGACAGACAATTTCTTGAGAGAAATTATTGCAATAAATCTGTAAGTAAAGACACTAAAAAAAAAAAAATATTTTTCAAGTTTACTTTTTTTATTATTGTAGTTTTCATTGAGCTAAGAGACAATTTTTTGAGAGACATTTTCGCAATAAATCTCTAAGTAACGACAATTAAAAATTAAAATATCCAGAACTAGCATGTGAGTCCAACGTGGTCTCACGGGGCAAGAGAGTCCTTACCCGGTGTGAGACCACTATGGATTCACATGGCACTCAAAGTGGTAATACTTAAATGCTATGAGAAGGGAAGGAAACAGGTCTATGACGTAGGAAATGGTGAAGGAAGTAGTAAGGCTTGCAGTGCAGAGTGTGGGAACTGTCTTTGGCAATTAAATTAATGTTTCTGCAATCCTAAAATGCTATGGGAAGAAAGGGAAAGAGCTCCACTACGTAGGAGGTGGTGAAGGAAGTAGTAAAGGCGGGCAGTGTTGAGTGTGGGAATGGATTAATCTGCAAATGAATTTATTTTAATTTAATTTAATTTTAATTGATTTTATATGATTTTTTTTAATTTATCTGCAATGGAAATAATGCTATGGGAAGAGACTGTAGGTTAAAATGATTATGAAGCACGAATCGTTACATATTTCGATACGTATTCAATCGTTTACAATAGAAATTTACAACTGAGTTGACAACAGCTGAGTTTTACTCCATAGAGGCTAAAAACGAATTTTATCCCCTAAAGAGTGAAAATGCTACTTTAGACCTGCAACTAACACACGCACCAATGACGACTGTTTTTACTGCAGTATGACAAAAACAATATAATATGAACCCTTGATGACTCCGCTCAATTTTGTGGATGCATCTGCGAACGCCACCTAGTAATAGCCCTTTGCGCTCTTTTGGAGTAGCATGTATCAACACTTTGAGTAGCGCTCTGTCCTTCCTCAAGCACAACATGATGATAACTAAATTATTTTGTTTTCCTATTTTGTTTCGGCACGTACACAAAATGGTTATCATCATCTGGAAATATATTACTCTGTATTCGCATATCGTCAGGTGTTGATTGTTTCAGATCTATCAATAGGTAGCCATGTGGTTTACTTATTGCATCGGCATACCTCGATAAATTTTGAATTTTCTGGATGGATTTGTCTAGCTTAGCACTTGATTTGCACCCTATCTCTAGGATTCTTAAAACAAACTAAGTAATGCGCATTTAGTGATATGTCTCTCTGGCCACGTCCTTGGTGAAAAATATTTTGAGTTATAAAAAACACACTTATGTTCCTATGATGACAAACTTTTGTAAATAGATCAACCACTATATTGTTTGTTTCTCGTATCATATCATCTATTACCACAAGTATCGGTTGATCACCATCAAAGTCTTCAATGTTTGGCAAACCTTCGAAGTATTTTATTTTTGAGTTTGATAAATTACCAACTCCTCCTCCGCCACTACCATAATGCCAGTATATGCTAGAGAATAATGTGTCACACATTTCTGAAATATTATCAATAAACCTTAAAACAAACACTGATTTACCACTACCTGAAGTTCCCGCCACAATGGCGGAGAATGGGTGTAACTACTTCAAAGTCATACTAACTACTTTTTTTTTAAAGAGGTTGGCGGCCTCTTTTAACCTTGCATTTGCCCGTCCACATAGACTAAGCGCCCGTGCGTGGATCGTTAACAGCAAAGCAAGGAGTGAGCCGGTGCAGTACAAAGGTGAACTGTACTGATAAAATGTTATCGGCAGTGACCAGGATCCGAACCCACGACATCGCTGCCTTGGGCCCGAAGTCCGCGACGCTACCGACTGAGCCACCGACTCACTAAACTGATACCAATCACTCATTGCTTTAACTATAGTATTACCTTCGGGTATAAGTCAAGTGTTTATGTTTGCAAATAAATCACAAATTTATTACTTACGAAAACTATCAAAATCTACATTGGTTATTTTAAGAATATATATATACATTTTTTATTTTTATTTACGTCTTGATGTTTTCTTGCTTTACAATATTTACACAAATTCCAACGGAGTGAATGATGTGCCGGGCCTGAGTGAGTGTTTCACCAAGCGAAGGCGATCTACGAAGCCGTTGTTGTAGCGATCGATGTAGGTATTGCTCACAACATCATTGAAGCGTCTCGGCAGATAGACTCTCAGGTAGTAATCGTCTCCCGCCTGGCCCTCCAGGATGACGATGATCGTCTCGCCGAATGGTTCAACCACTCTCTCCATCATCGTTATTAGGTATGGAACCTTATCAATCAAGTCGGTCAGTCTACTTCCTCCACCTTGGGGATAAGGGTTAATAGGTTACTCAACCTAGCCTTCTCCTCGTTATCCCTAGGTTGAGCTAACCATCCCTCATTCAGTTCTGTTGTTGCCTCCAAATGTATTTTGAGCAACTCCTCCATTGACAGCACATTGATGATGTACTGTTGGTCTTCCTCCTCCTCCTGCTCGACGGCACTATCCTCCAACTCCAATTCATAGCCAATCCTCGCATCGATGACATCAGCACTGGCGATTACCTCTTCATCCGTGATGGATGAATTGCGCTCACCATGCGTCTGCTGAGTCGCCGCGGTCCTAGCAGTCTCCAATTCGGCGTTTTGTCTTTCCACTGCTTCATCAGCGGCAGCGATGAGTTCTTCATCGGAGAACATGTTGTCTGTGAATGCTTGTAGTGTGGAAGCGCCGTAGCCACTCCCCTACACCAGCGCTCCAAGCGGCAGTGTTATGAAACACACACACGCGCGCGCGCACACACACACACACAGGGAAGGGGAGGCATATCCTCCGCCAGTTAGTACTTTCCCCCTGTGTCAACAGATGGATGGTGTCTAGACATGGGATTAGTGTGTGGGAAGCAACATCACGATGATTTCTCATTAAGATGAAAAGAATAATTACATTAAAAAAATTGAGGAAGGGGGAGGAGTACCCTCTGCGACCTACAACATGTGTATTAATTGGTAATTACACATTGTCGAAAACAAACTAATTGTAATTACTTATAAAAAAATGTTAATAACTCATTACAAATAAAAAAACTAATAGTAAATACTCATAAAAAAAAACTCATTACAAAAAAAATAATTGTAATTACTAATTACCTCTGGTCCCCCTCCGCCCCATATACAACTGAGTAATTACAGCTACTAACATCCTTGTTCATTGTTTGTGGGAATTTTCATATTGTAGGTGTTCTTCATTATATAGGATGATAACGATAGTAAAAGTTTTTTCCTCTATTTCTTCTACTTGGTGGCATACTATGACTTTCCAATGTTTCCATGTTTAAAAAATCGGTTCTTTCAAATGATTGCTCAAGAAACACAGTACCATGTCAATTCATTTTTCTTATTTGGTAAAATATATCACATTGCCCAGGCTTTTTCGATTTGTTACATTGTAATATGTACGAATGAAAATTAGAGTAGTAAATATTAATTTCAACAAAATCAGTAAATGTAACCTATGCGTTTCGTTGTATCTAAAAATAAATAACAGCAATTAAACTATACAGCTTCGATCAAAATGTAAACAATTAGGTTCTTCATAAGGATAACATGGGATTTTTCAAAGCCACTGGGGCAGAGCCCGAGGGACTTTTTTTCAAAAATGTAAGGCCAGTTTGCAAATCTCTTTCCAATGAGACGTCAATGAATAAAATCGGTTATGAAATGGCGAAGGAGTTCAACCGACAATCTTCGTGGTCGCGTATTAATTATATAGATGGCGTAAACTATCGTACGTAACTTGTCCAAAATGTGTGTACCGGACTCGTATGGTAATCCTATACTCGACTTCGTCTCGCACGGGAACGACCACACTCGTCCGGAAAACACTTTTTTCAGGACTAGTAACGTAATATACTATTTTAGAATTAATTGTATAATTACTTTTCAAAAGACGACAAGCACAAAAAGATAGGTGACATATTTGTATTGACTTTTACATATGTTCCAGTATTCTCGTATTAGATGATGAGGATACCCTTAATTTGGATGGGAAAGTAAATGGGTAAATGTAATGTCCGTATTTGGGCTGGTCATCTGGGTGTCTTCCACTTTGCGGTCAGTCCATTTTCCGGTTAAGTGTAGAAATGCGTGGGAGTTGAGGAGGTTCTAGGGGGTAGAAGGTTTCCATTTTAAGGTCAGGTTTTTATTCCTAGAATACATGACTATACTGAATGAATAGTAGTTCCACTTATATAGAGCAGCAACAGTTCTTAACTTTGTACAGATTTTGAGGTTTAGATTTTAATGAGAATTAATTGATAGAGCCTTTTTTTATAATCACGACTAAATCAAAATATATAAATCCATACAAAAATCCGAATAGTAATGAATCTGTTTAAACAATTACAAGTTAATATTTTATACAGTATACAGGATAAAATACAGGTCATTACAATATGACCTTGGAAATGACGCTCAAAAAATTACAAGTTAATGAATAAAACTACAATATATTACAACTTAGAGTTCCTACCTATCCAGAGTGTTAACACCACATTTCTAAGAGTAGATTTATCAATGGAATTCGTTGTTTTTAAATAAAAATAACTTTATCTTAGGCCTAGCACAAAACTGTACGGTAGAGGAAACACGATGTCAAAGATGCCAATAAGCAATATAAAAGCTTAATTGTGGCGGTATGTAAAAACAAAAAAAAAAAATAATAATTAATTAATTCATAAAACCTTGTATATTTTCTAAGACCCACCTTGACTAAATGCTAAAGCAGGTACGTAAATCACCATGGGAATATACAGCATCTGGAATCATGAATGGAAAATATAAACCTTGTTGAAATGTGTAACAAATTAAGTATATTGATTGGTGTAGGCGTTTGAGCCATGTTTTATTACAATATTTTCTATTACAATAGGACAACATAAATTTGTGATTATTCTGTTAAAGCTGTCGCACATTCGATAATCATGACTAAGGTGTCAATGATGGAATGGAATAAAAAAACAAGAGCAAAATTGAGTAGATTGTACACGAACTAAAGAAGAAACTTTTGGCAAAAAGCCTAATAGCCCGGCTTGGAAACAATAAAATTCTTACCCGAGCACTTGTGCCTACAGCAACCTCCATACAAGAAGATTGTTCTAATTGGGATTCTGACATATTTTTTAACAATACATTTATGAAAAGTTAATCTCACTATTTCTTGTAAAAATTTTTAAGTTTGCTCGCGTAAGACTTAATTTATCACCTACAGAACTTAATTTGGCTTAGGTTTAACTTTGTCACATCAGCGCTCCAATTAACAAGAAAATGGACTTGAGTTTATTGGGAAAAGATTGGCGATCGCCTTTGGTTGCAGAGGTCATTAGTCGAGAAAGATTCTTTTGATAAGAAACTCTATCAAAGTAGTGTATGTCAACGAGATGAATGAAGAACAAAAGTATTGTTATATTTTTTCACGTGACAGACTTTGGAAAATACTGCCTTGGCTTTCACGGGTTTTGCAGGGTTGTTTAAATTAAGAACATGAAAGGACATTTGCAATGACGAGATGATGGTTTCTGATTCGGTTCTTGAGGTTTGATAATATCCCAACTAAAGAAAAAGGAAAAGTTTGGACAAGCTGGCACAGTTAAGAAATTTGTTTGAAAATTTTGTATAAAACTATAAAAACACGTAATAGTCAGTGATTTTGTTACAGTATACCAAATTTTGGAATCATTTAAAGGCAGGTGCAGCTTTAGACAATTGATGAAGTCAAAGCCAGCGAAATAGATACAACATCAAAGGTTATGTTATGGGTTGCGCTAGAACTTCCTACACTGCAAATCTCGGTTAGCAAGCAGCCGGATGGACGATTCATCACTGATAATTTAACAAAAGAAGTTATAGTAAAATAACTCACAAGAATGTTTTTCATACGGGTTTTTCGCTATTAAAATGTTTTTTATTCATCATTGTTTATTGTCTGTAATCCCGAAGGTAACTTCCGTGAGGTTCTTTGTTGTCCAAAGAAATTCAGTGGAACGGATCGGTTTGAAAAATAAAATATTGTAATAGTAACAGCATTTTGGGGCTAATACTGTTTTCTGTTATTCCAGTCAAGCGTTGTTATTTACTTTTGTTTTGTAATTTCGGGTTTTTATGTAATTAGGGCAGACTATATACTAATGATCTGGATTTGAATTTAACGGAATTTAAATTATGAGTATTATAAATAGATTGCAACACATTAAACTTTATCCTCTGGACTCCAAGGCATTAAAAAGATTTTCAACTTCACACTTGCCGTTTTGAAGGATTAATTTTTTACCACATCTTTTGGGACGAACATTATTTATAACTAGTTTTTTTCTCAAAGATATTTCCACTACAAATTACTTTTTACATTCCAATTTTACATTAAAAATGATATGAGTAGGGGGTTGTAATAAAAATGTGTACAACTTATAAGTAAATCTGACGGACAACGTTGACAAATACTCACCATTTTCAGTAGGAAAATGCCTGATCCCATGATGCAAACGGCTTTGTTAAATCTCATGTTTAAGTACTATAAAAGCAGAAAAATTACAAATTTAATAATATTCATCACTCTTTACTATAGACAACACTTTATATTTTACAACCACATAGTCCAGAAGAAGTGAAAATAAAATGTTATCACATAATTGTTTAAAGACAATTTCCCTGTAAAAGGATGTCAAGTAAAAAAATAATAAAAAAATTACTAAAAAAAATTCTTAATTTTAAGACTAAGCTCTTTTAGAATAACTTTACAATTCTTTAGACGATAGTACTGTTCATTTTGGTGGAATCAAACCATTAAACATATTTAAGTAAATCTAGTTCTATACAGATTAAATAGTTAAAATGATGTTAAATAATTCCAGTTAAAAGCTCGTTTAGATATAATAATAACACTAAAAATATCACTCATGAAGAAACATAAAAATACACGGAAAACGCAGTTTTTAGGTTCTTAAACTTTTGTACTTTTGCATAAGATCTATCACAGTTAATAAAAAGTAACATAGGCAAAACTCACCTCGTAGGATGAAGTAATCTTGAGTTTAAAAAAGACGGGGAGATACACATAGATCATCGTGACACTGACAAAACAGTCAGAGAAGACGATTGCCCAGTACTGTGTGCCGTATACATACATCTCGGCTGGGATACCGAGCAGAGAGATGCCGGAAATATAACTAAAACATACGAGAGATAAAACATCGACGTTCGACACCCACTATGCTTTCGACTCTAATAGTCACTAGCCTAATAATCTTTTAGTTGTATTTGTTAAGAGCTTAGCGTTCTTCTTTCACATAGACCTGCAACACAGCATTGCTACCAAATCGTAGGTTAGTTGCGTGACTTTACCAGAAGGGATTTTATTTCTGTATTGTCTGGATTCAAGAAGTATTCCCATAGCCTATAATATAATATCTGCTAGAATTTAAAGTACCTATAATTCAATGTTATCAGTACACTAATTTTTTTCTTTGTTAACTTAATAATTATTGGGTTGTTGAAGTGTAACATTTTGCCGTTGGTCATCAATATTCAATATAACAGAGGCTGTCAAAAAAACTTTTAGGGCTAAATTTTGAACTTTAATTTTGATATTTTAGTAATTGAATTGATAAGTGCTATTTTTAATTTAGTTCCAAAGGATTAAATATTTAGATTTTGACATTATAAAATATCACGTTACGTTACAAGATAAATCTTTTAAGGGTGTTGTGCCCAATTATATAATCGGGAAAGGTAATTGGTTAAATAAGAGCCTTTAGGTCTATCTATTAAGTATGGATTCTTCAGAGAAACCTATGGAAAAGCATGCTTCCACCTCACGGAACTACCTCTACTCCAAGTACTTTACTGAAACCATGCAACTGTAAAAAATTGTACCAAGGCAACTTACAGCTGTTTTTACAACTTCTGTACAAATTATAAAACTCCCAAAACACTTTTACACACGTAGAAAATCATATCATGATCTCGAACGGGCTGACTTGTAAATTGGGGTCATGTTGTAGTATGATAAATGCATTTTCTTAACCTATTTAAACCTTCTCTTGTGCTTATAGACAGTACTTTTCGACTTAAGTGATTTAATTTACTAAATTCTTCGTTTAAAGTCAATCTTTTTAAATATAGCATACTGCTTGGGTACTTATATATTTTTTGCTAACTCGGAAACTTTATATTATTTTAAGATAAGTATTATGATGTGTGTTTAGTTTGTTGAACAATCACAATAACGCACTGTACTATTCGTTGTTTGAAGCGGGAGTGTGTTTTATAGGGAGCAAACCACAGATAAGGGATTTTTCTCATTAAAGGGAGATAAAATGTATAACACCATGCCGTTTACAACATGTTTCTATCGTATCTAGTTCGAGCGATGTTTTAGAACGCACCTCCGTGTTCCCCCCTCCCCCCTAACCCTTAAAGTTGTGCTTCTGCTGGGAGAGTGACAACATCAGGTTTCGTCATCTCAAAGACGCCCCGAAAAACCACCAAATGTTAAAATGCATGACACATTCAATGCATACTCAACCCCTATAGATGCTTAACTTTGGTAGCCAACTATGCCACGACCTCAACGAAAAGTTTGACAATATACCTGGCAATGAGGGACATGGATATTGGGAATATCCCCATAGTTCGGCCTCCCATGAGGTATTCGGCTGAGGACGCCTGTTTGTCCTTGGCGAGGATGGCAAAGTAGACGCCGATGAGGACAGATAACACTAGCATCGCTCCGAACACGGTGTAATCCACCCAGTCGAACAAACGCTCCTCCGGTCGTAGGGGCATCTGAAAACAAGACATTTTACATTTGGCATTCATAACTAATAATGCATTTATTATAGATTCTTCTTTCATAAATGGCAACGCTATCTTTAATAATCCAATAGGAACGATAGTTTAACCAACCTCAAAAATAAATTATGACAAAGGGGTTGCATTTCAGTAAATATCGCTTAACACTTTTTGTCTCTAGTATTTGAGTTTATCTTGTATAACCCTTGCGTACTGAGCCTGATCACCTCTTGATTACCTTTGGTCAAGGCCTAGGTCTCGTATAAATTATTAACGTTACCAGTTGTCCTTGTTTTGTGTTAAGAGATATTCAACTAATTAAAGTATTCTTGTACACTATTGACTGTAGCCTATGTCATTAAAGAGGCCTATGAAGCAAGGAACTAAGGAAAGTGCAGGAGAGACACAACAATCTTGCCGTGATAAACAATGGTTAGGTTAAGTCAAGTGGGCCGTTGTGCTAAGCCTTGTGAACTTTGAATTGGAGTGATGAACACTTAAAACAAATGCATAATCATTTAACGAAAATTCTTGTGCCTTTGAACGTTTACTGTAATTTCAAAATCTCAAACAACTAAAGAATTGTACAGGATTTTGGTGCTGGCGCAGTCATGTGGGAATACATTTCCACGGAGAGTAGTTGCCAAACTAACTTATGAGATCGGGGACCTACTGCGGATTGGCCTACCACACTCGGACGCCATCCCACCATGGGTCTTGCCTGATGTCGATGTCTACCGCTGCTGTCATCCGACCACACTACTTGGCCTAGCGATGCGGTTGTATACTGCAGCGACAAACCCGATAAGTGACAGAATAATAAATAGGGATGCTTCAAATTGATCTGGGCCTACATTTACATTTAAAACGCAAATATCCTAACTCTTTAGTAATTTTGTCAATTTAAAGAAAATTGTAATTTTGTCCTTTTAGTTTAAAATGCTGTCAGTACCTCAGTTTGATTAATTGTCAAATCTTGTCTTTTGGTCTTCTTGGAAATAACCTAAATTACGTAAGAGTAAAGTTATATTTTAGGAAACTATACAATCAGAGAACAAAATGTAGAAATGTAACATCATAGAAGTGCAGTTTATATCTTGAAATTACAAAAGAAGCTAAAATTTGCACTAAATGTAGGAAGGAAATCTCAGTTTTGAAGAATATCTTAAGTACCAATCAACGTTGCTCGGCATTACTTGATTGGATTTCCAGTACGTATTCAGACAGGGACCCTTAATTTTCTTCATCAAATATAATCTATATATATAAAATCCAATGTATGTTTGTTTGTTTGTCCTTTATGGACTCACAAACCGCTCGACAGATTGTAATGAAAATTTCAGGCACTATTTAGGAGCATTATTAAGCATTATTCAAGGATGGTTTGTATGAAGTTTGGTGATCCATCAAAAGGGCTCCGCCCCAGTGGCTCTGGAATTTCCCATGTTAACCTTATGAGTAATCATATTTAAATGGCATTAAAGAATCTTAACAGCTGGTTCAACTAAACAATTTGATTCTGTGATGTTCAATAGCATTAAAAAGTTAATAGGCTTACCAACAGGGTGCAGCGCAATTATTATTTTTTTAATTTATGACAACAGCTAATTTGCAACCAAAAATAAAATCTAGTACATCTGGAGGCGAGTTAGCGTAGTGAATGAGCTAACCTGAAGGCAAGTGAGCGCAGCGAACGAACTCCAACCTAAACGTGAGTGAGTGTAGCGAACAAACTTCAACTAGCACGCGATTGCGCCATGCGAACGAGCTCATCTTGAAAATGAACGAGCATTTGACATAAACCCACATTAGGACAGGACGACGTCTGTCGGGCCAGCTAGTAGTAGATAAAATGAAAACTTCTCTCTTGGAGCAAGAAAAGTCGCCCATTAACGAAAGGAAAATCCAATCCAAGCTGTATGCAAAAACTATAACAAGGAAAATACACTGTGATGTAAAACGAAAACTATTTGTAGAAGCAGATTCATCATCGCCATGAGTTTTGCAACCAGTTTTCTGCCTCAATCGTGTTAAGAAATAAATTACACTTACTTGCCTCCCTGAGAGGAAATAAGGATGATTATGAAGGAATTCAATGCACCAAATTACATGATAAGACAGGCTGATAAAATCCCAGACACGGTAAAACGCTTTCAGAGGATGGTGTAACTACAATTCATTCGTTTGACCTATATGATGGACTCAGCAGATCAAATACCCGGCATGAAAGATTATGTATCGGTTTTTGAGGCAAATGGAAACTTAATCAAAATATGAAAACGTATTCTGAGGGAAGCTTATACTTTATTAAAGACGTATTAAAGTAGTACACCCCGCCCCCTGAATCAGCAGCTTCATTTTTTCTCATCCAAGGAAACCGTATTTATTATGGATCTCAGTAACGGACGTCCCTGTTAAGTTGGTCCTACAACGCCTATTCTAAGGTTTTACGCCCTTAATCATAACCAATTAGGCCTGTGTGTTACGTGAAAGAGATTAAACGCGGGCTTCCACAAAAAAAAAAAAAAAAAAAACACTTCAGAACAATAAAACAATTAAAACGCAATTTTTTCAGGTACAAATGTATGTTTTTAGTTAAGTAAAATAAGATCGCCTGCAAAAGTTGCTCCAACTGCATTGGTGCAGCAGGCGCCGTTCACTCATATCCTTTCTGCGTCTTGAAAAACGGGATCGTATTTCATCGCGTGACATTTCGAAATTTCAAGAACCTTAACAATTAGCCAATCTACAGTTGTAAGAATATTAAAAAAAAAAAAAAAAATCATCCTTACCATATAGTATTTTACCAACAATTCCGTTCAAATGATGTCTTAATGCGAACTGCGTCTTGTAATCGGATGCAAGGTCAAATTCAAAATGATTCTGCCTTTTTATGAAAGGTTGTAAGACGGTTTCACTTGAGCCACAAAACGCCCGACGATCGCGGAACGCCGCTTCTGGCTGTTGTGGCACGAAAATCGCAGCCTGGCGCAGAAAAGAAGAGCCCCATTCACCTAAAACATTGGAGCGCGGCGTGCCTTTCACACGAAGTGGCGTCTTTTTGCGTTTGACGCTAGAACACGCTGCAATCGCCTGCAATGGCTCTGTCCTCGACAATTTTGGCGTTTGTAGCTGGTTATTGCATCTCAGACAGTTAAATTAACCAGTCACCCTGTTTTGTTCTGAAATTTCTTTTGCCTTTTATAATATTAAGTTATGACTTTGACACAGACCACTTAGCGTAGAAATATAGTGTAGGCCAGTAGAGTTGGACCAAGAATGTTAAGATTACTTAAATAAACATTTGAAGTTCGAAGCTTGGGAAGATGTGGCATCTACTATGTGGCCAAACTACGAGTTGAAGGGAACCAAAGAAACGACTGAGATATATAACTAAAATATTTGAATCAGTGAGTTGAAAACGCTACCTAAGTCAAAAAAGTGGCCATTTTGATTAGTCATCGATTTTTAATTCTTAGGAGTAGACACAAGTCTGAGTGCAAAAAGGGACCTCATTCAAGCATTATAAATGTTATATTTACAGCACAGTTTTACGTGTTGAGAGGCAAAAGGTACCTCAGTCAGTGACTCAAGTACGTTTTACTTCTCAACTCTGCTTTGTACTCTGTGTTCAGAAGACAGTCAGCTGTCCGTAGTTTCTTTCACAGTAAGCTGTATTATTGTTGATTGTTTGATACATTGAAGGATAGCTAGTTGTTAGGTTATTCCTTATGAGCTTTGAACAACAACTATGCAAGAGGGTAACGATAATAACCAAAAGCGAGGAAGGAAAAGGCAAAGACATCCAGAAACTTACAAGAGGAATATGAGAAAAGAGAAAATTCTTCGAGGACAAGAGCCCAAACAAAATTAAAAGCAAAGGGCGATAACGTAAGGTTGGTTCAAGTTCAACTAAGGAATAAAGGAACAAAGATAAGAAATTGACAAAATCAGAAATTGAGAGGCTGGAAGAGTTAAAATTTCGGAATTGGAAGAAGGTAGATTGTACATCTAGGGATGAACCTTATGTTGAGCCTCTCTCTGGGCCAAAAGATGAGTATTTTTCAGAATGTAAAACATCTACTGATGTATTTTTAGTTTTTGTAGAGACCCTCCTTGATCAAATTGTTACTCAAAGTAACTTATATGCCCGTCAAAAAGACCCTAACAAGGACCTGGGGATGACTAAAGAGTGGCTAATGACCTTTATTGGTATTAACTTCATAATGGGGTATCACAAACTCCCAAGTTGGAAACATTATTGGAATACAAATAGAGACCTAAATGTTTCCGTTATATCTGAGGCAATGTCCAGAAATAAGTTTGACGAGATTCTGCACAATTTGCACTTGAATGACAACCTACGGGTTCCTAATGACAACAAAGATAAGGCCTATAAAATTAGACCTATGATAAATAATTTGAATGACAGATTTATTGAATTGTATAGCCCAACAATAGGGTTAAGCGTCGATGAATCGATGATAATATTTAAAGGTAGGTTTTCAATGAAACAGTACAATCCCCTAAAGCCCATAAAAAGGGTTTACAAACTGTGGTGTGTAGTAGATCAGCAGGGCTATATAGGGGAAGGTGTTGTACCTAGGGACAGTAGTGGTATTTCCTTTTCTTTAACATTTTTTTCAGAAACCAGGATCTCTTAAAAATGCCACGGAGCAAGGAGAAAAAGAAAAGAGAGCAGCCAAGTAATGCGGCCTTCATCTCTGCAGTAAAAGATGTTGTGGAGAACCATTCTGTTCGTGGGGCTGCTGAAAAGTACGGAATCTCCAAGTCAGCGCTAGCAAGACATGTATGTTTCTGCATTCAAAGCTTCAGGCGCATCGTCCTATGAATATGCTCCTAATTATGATGTGAAAAAGGTGTTTACTGAAGCTCAGGAAACTATGCTAGTGGAATATATGAAGCAAGCTGCTTACATGCATTATGGCCTCACCATTCTTGATCCACGCAGACTCGCTTACCAGTTTGCAAAAGAAAATGAAGTTAAATATCCCACAAAATGGGATGAAGATAAATAAGCTGGAGAGGGGTTGGCTCTTTAGGCAAGGGCATTCCTCTGAACTATCATTACGTAAACCTGAGGCAACTAGCCTATCTAGGGCTACCTCTTTCAACAAACACAATGTTGGTCTATTTTTTGTAAATTATATTGATGTCCTTGGCCGCAGCCAGTTCGGTCCAGAAAGAATTTACAACTTGGATGAAACAGGCCTGTCAACCGTTCAGAACCCACCTAAGGCATTAGTCCCTAAAGGTGTAAAAGCTATTGGAGGTATGACATCTGCAGAGTATGATTTTTGCCACATTTTCTAAGATTGATTATTAAGGTAAAGAAATATGATTTTTTCACCTAGTTTATAAAAAGTGTGAAATCACGTTTGCATTCCTCTCACTCTGGTATTACAAAAACGAGGGTGTGGGGTAGGGAATCCTCCACCCGCCGTTAGCTGTCTTCACGATGGTGAAGAATTTAAGATTATGATTGAAAACTGCATAAAAAAACTTGACACCACATGACTTCATTGTTTTCCACAAGTAAAGAGCATCTGCCAAGTGTATCCAACTATGTTTATAATAGATAATAATGTATTTCTTAAATGGAAAAAGTTTACGAACATTTAATTGTATTCTTGGAGGGTCATATTTGTGGGAGTAGGGGAGTAAAAATTACCTGAGCTACTAGTAGATTACCCCCCCCCCCAAAAAAAAAAAAAAAAATCCTTGTACTATTCAATTTTGAAATGAGCTATGGTTAAATTAGTTAACGTTACGTTCTTAATGAAGTTGGACCGCCCTAACAACATACGAGTAAAAATATTGTGGTTTTAATTTTAAGAATTTATATTTTAAATTATGGCAAACGAAAAAAGTAAATATTGAAAAATATTCAACTAAAGAAGAAGAGAAGTTGTGAAACTACAGTAAGTATGCAGAGAGCTAGGAGAAGTTGAAAGAGGAAAAGGGCAGAAGAAAATCAATAAATGAAATGCCACCCCAACATCAAATAATTTTCAGAAAACAATGGAAGCAATGTTAGAAAATTAAACTATATCAGCAATCTGACACATAAGAAAAGAAGCTGAGAAACTAAGTATGCAGAGAGCTAGAAGAAGTTGAAAGAGGAAAAGGGCCAAAGAAAATCAATAAATGAAATGCCACCCCAACAACAAAGAATTTTCAGAAAACAATGGAAGCAATGTTAGAAAATTAAACTGTATCAGCAATCTGACACATAAGAAGAGAAGCTGAGAAACTAAGTATGCAGAGAGCTAGAAGAAGTTGAAAGAGGAAAAGGGCCAAAGAAAATCAATAAATGAAATGCCACCCCAACAACAAAGAATTTTCAGAAAACAATGGAAGCAATGTTAGAAAATTAAACTGTATCAGCAATCTGACACATAAGAAGAGAAGCTGAGAAACTAAGTATGCAGAGAGCTAGGAGAAGTTGAAAGAAGAAAAGGGCCAAAAAAAATCAATAATAGAAATGCCACCCCAACAACAAAGAATTTTCAGAAAACAATGGAAGCAATGTTAGAAAATTAAACTGTATCAGCAATCTGGCACATACTTTCTCCCATTAGCTTGTCAACAGCCTTTAAAATGGGTAACCGGTGGGAGAAACTATTATATTTTATATGGAAACTCACAAAAGATGAAACAACTTTTGAACCGTAATTTTTTGAGCAATGTACAGTTGCACTATTTTGTTTAGAATTATAAGGACCATAACGTATATAATTTTACTTAAAACCGGCTTTTATCTCAGTATCTTGGCTTTTTTCGATCCCATCAGTATCAAGCTCTAGATGATGTTAAAACAAACCTCCAAGACAATAAAATATATAATGCGACTTTCCGAAAACCTCGAATGTAAATACAAAGAAGAGGCCCAACCGGCTCACTTTGTGGGTTCTAAGTCACTATTGTCACTAAACACAGTTGTAGGATATAACAAAAGTACTCAATGAAGAACAATTAAAATCATTTTGCTCAATATCAGAATGTTTGAGACATGACAGCTCGGACTGTTCCCAACTTACACAACATAAAAACCCGTCCTAAATGTAGTTCACTTCTCATTTGTATATTAACTTTTGTAAGGTCTTTGATACTAATATAATTAAGATTCAAAAGTGTAAACTGTACCTTTTGCAGTAAAATATTTTACGATTTTGAACAGCCGTAATTATCCCATTGCTTAATAAAATACCCCATTATCAGTATTTTAAGGGAAATTGTAAAAGTAAACAGTGAAAATAAAAGATCTCTAACGGGACACAGCACAAAGAAGCTTTCTATCTAAAACTAGTTTATACTGCAGAACACATTTCTTTCTCTTTTTATCACTAAAAACTGCATATACGAAATATAGAATACCCGTTGCAGCGCTAAACGAGTCAAAATATTGAATATTTTGTTATAAGTTGATTAGTTACTGACCTCGTGAGTGATGAGTGATACTACGTCGGTGTCAAGATGTCAAGATGTCGCGGAGAAGAGTACGATCTGAGGACTCCCACTGCCGCCACTGCCACAATTGGCACACAAAACCTCGCCTTCCTGTCCACTACGGGCCATTACCAAGTCAGGACGAGGTCACGGACGTGCCATACCAAAAATGCTACATCTACACTTCTAAACAGTTCATTTTACATAATGACTATTAATATCAAGAAAATCGAACAATCTCAATTGCATTTAATATTTGATCTCATATTAAAAGTGAAATAACAATTCTAACATTGGCCTTTAGCAACCAACTCTCCGGCGCAAGCAGAATATAATTATTAAAGCTGGTTCTTCAGCCAGGATAATTAAAAAGCTAAACCACCAAGAACAGCTGGGTCCAGTTACGAACCACCAATAAGCTACATGGTTTTCTGAGGGTTGAACTGGCGACCTTATGATTACTAGACAGATTGAATCAACATCAGCTGGCATTCAACTTGAATGTACAGTAAACCAGTTGGCGTCCTTCCTTGCTATTAGTAGGCTCACTATTTCCACCAAGCGGTAAAAAGGCTTTGGCATTCTAATGAAGATCCTTAAACTTATCACTGAACAATTAACGAACACAACGTAAGTACTGTGTATGAAAAGAAACATGTTTCTCCAGTATACATCCCACCTTTTGAAATCAAATTAGTTCGTAAATACAATGATTGTTAGAAACAAATTCTTAAATTTAAAGTAAATGCTAGCATAGTAAATATCTATATCATTTAATCAACTGTAACGATAAATATTATCAGCTCTAATGGCAGAGAATATTGTGATCCATAAAAAAAAACTATCATTAAACCCTGTAAAAAAAAAGTTTGAGAGAAATTGCTTCATAACTTGTTCAGACATAAAACACTGAAGGGAAACTTACATACAGGAAAATAATGTAAAAATGTAATACTCCGGATTACATGGTAAAGCAAACAAAGAAACCTCTTTAAGATAATGGAAGTCCTAATTAAAAACCTGGGAAATATATGACACTATAAATAAATTGAAAAACTTGTCAGAATACAGTGTTTTGGCCTTAGATATGCGAACTTTGGAACAATTTTTACTGAAGGATTTTTATCTCTGTATCTTATTGTATCTTATCTGGATTTCTATCTTATTGCATAAAATTACTTATTTGGAAACAGTAATGTGACTTATCTCCAGGCTACGTATAAGTGAAATACAGACTTTTACCAGGTAAACACAGCTGTTTTGACCACTTTCTAGAATGACCGCGTTTTACCTGGTAAAAGTCTGTATTTCACTTATACGTAGCCTGGAGATAAGTCACATTACTGTTTCCAAATGAGTTGTTTTATGCAATAAAATAGATACCTGTAAAACTTACAAAGATAAAAATGCTTCAGTAAAAATTGTTCCAAAGTCCGCATATCTAAGGCCAAATCACTGTATTCTGGACGGAGCGAAAAGCCTTTTGACATACAACAATGTCAAGTGGATTGCCATTACGGTTTAATCTCACTTTATAGCCATACATGGCTTTCCTCAAATTAGCCTCGTTCATAGGCTTTCTGGGTTTCCTATGCTTAATTAATTGTATACTAATCAGTCCAGCTAAATGGTCTGTTTGCTTTTTCCACTCCCCGAGCTCATTAAATTTAGCGATCAACCCGTTTCTTTCATCTAAAGACAAATTATCAAAACATCGTTTAGAGCAAGAACAGTCCTCTCCTAACTCATGAGATTGAGCCCTAATCTTCTTACTAGCATCACTTACTCGACCGAAACGTTTTCTTTTCTTAGGAAAACTGACACACTCATCAACATTCTGATCACTATCCGACATTTTCTAACCTAACACTGCACTGTTAAACCCACTATATTGTGCAAAATTAGGTCGAAACCACACATTCATACGCCAAAATAGGTTATTCACTGACAAGCGTCTAGTCTCACTGACAAACAAGTGGGTACTGGCTTGGCAGTCAGGCGGTGAGTCACTCGTTTTACAAGCAACAAGTAGAGACTTGCCTCTTTCTTCCCCACTACGTACCGGACTTGCCTCCTTCTTCCCCACACCCCCATATCTTCCAATGTAAATTACAGCCGTACTAACCTTCTTCTTCCCCTTTTGAGTTTACCATGTGAAAATTTCAACAACAAAGAACCGTTTTTCATCCTTAACTCAAAAACGCAAAATAGTGGACTTACCCCCTTTTTCCCCTGGGGTCTTCAAGTGGAAATGTCCATTTACAAAATTTGTCATCGATGAGAGATTTATTGATTTGCAAAGATAACTTATTGCCTTTGTATAGACATCAGTACTTACAAAGGTATCATATTGTGCTTTGACATTTTCTTTATGCCACAATTAATTGTTGTATCCATTGAAACTGATTTATAACAACAAAAAAACATTCTAAAAAGGTTATTTCAAACTCATTACCCAGGTTCCTGTGTATGATTTCCACCGTGACTAGTATAATCGTCAGTTTATAATTAAGAGACGTATAAAAAAAGTTTGCTACAATAGTAACGTGTTTCAAATAGGATATTATGTTTATACCATAAATCACTTTTATGATTTTCAAGAAAATTAAAGCTCTGGCAGTGGTAGTTGTCTTGAAGTTGAAATAGGGAGTACTAAATACACTAGTTCACAACCACAGGTGCAAGAATGTGGTGAGGTGTATGAAAATGACATCGGTAAGATTTCAGAATTAGTTGTTTCCCATCGTCCCACTTAACATTGCTAGTTGAATTTACCCCACGGAAACTTTAATTTTCTAACTAATATGGTAGGCGGGCAAAAACGAAAGTTCCAACACAACACAACTAACTGGCTTCAAAAATACTGGCTGGCATATTCAACAATTATATCATTCATTAAAACTGTCTGTGTCGTATAACTATTTTATTTGTGAAATAAAGTACCGGTAAATAATTAAAATCACATTAGCTATAAAGGGTATGTTAACGTTCCTTAACAGTCATAACAGTTCAACATCGGAAGGTATTGCGTGTAGAAGACATATTTTCAAGTTCCTCAGAGGAATACAATGAAGATGTTAAAGAAAATAGCTTTGTTGTAAAATTAGTGGGGAAAAGTCTACTTCCCATTATGTTGCAAAGGAGTTGGAAAACCATGGGGATGGAGAGTACTGACGTACTGGTATGTCCGAGGCTTTCGAACGCCTGTAGCCGCCCTCTCACATGGATTTTTGATGATGACGTAGTTTCAATTATGACGAATCAATTACGTCTACTCCACCGAAAAAAGCTGCTATATGTTCCGCACCTGTTACATCGAAGGAAGTCCGAGTGTATATATAGCACTATGTATTTTTATACGACTTCATAATTACACTCCTAATAAAGAAATGTCTATTAACTAATCACTTGTCAAATGTCGCGGTAGACTTTTGTAGATACAGTATAAACCAAAGAAACGGGCTCGGTTTGGGATAAAGTTTTATGAATTATGTGACTCAACAAACGCATATGTTTGTAGTTTCGATATTGATGTCGGTAAGGACAAAATTGGAGACCTCACTTCTAGCCAAAAAGTGGTTCTACAGATGTGTGAACAATGTGACGTCCTAAATAAACGATACAATCTAATAATCCACAAGCTCTTCAGTCTTGGTACGGATACCTGTAGCACTGTTCATTGTGGCCGTGCGTAAATGCCCAAAGACTTCAGATAATGTCAATTACAAGTCGGCAAATCAAGTGCACGATCATATCAAAACATTTTGGCTATGAGGTGGCTTGACAGAAGATATGTGTACAGATTCAGATGCAGATTCAGGGATATTTGCTATAATGTGATATCTATGCATTGGCGGAGGGCAAGTGCGCATTGCCCACAGTGTAGGGCGTACAAAAATTGAAGAGACACGTCTCCCCCTAGTAGATGTCGGGAAAAATGGGAATTGAATTGTATATAGGAGGGTCGACAACATAAGAGGTATAGGCACGTACAGTAGGCAGGGCCGAGGTGGTTTATGAGGTATACCCTACCGAGGTTGTGGCAGAAGCACGCAAGGTATGCAGCCGTAGGTGCGATAAGAGCCCTAGAAAATAAACCCGACCAAGAGTGTTCAGCGAGGAAGTTGCACCACAAGTAATTCCAAGAGTTTAATAGATAGTAGAAATGAATCCATTTTGTAGCCCCTGAACTGCGTAGTATAGAATAAACTATTACGTACCTCGTCTTGCACTTCAAATATAGTGTTTGAAGTCCACTGCATATGTTTCGCCAAATATGGCATTCCTAAGTGGTTAGCAGAAACATTTTATCCAAATTGGACTAGTCGACATGTTACTTTAAATAAAAAAATATTTACATTGTGAGACGGAAAATAAATCAACCAATAAAACATTTAAACATGTAGGCCTGCAACACATACCCCGATACAGAACTGTCGGGCCCCGAGACGGACTGACAGGAAAACTAAGAAGTCCCGGCTCCTTTGGCTATTATGTCTGATCGCCGTCTTTCATTTGTTTTATTTTTTATTTTATAATGAAGGAACCCCAAACAGCCTTTGGCTCGGGGGCCCTACATTTTCTCCCAATCACTTGAAAAAATAAATCATCTAGGTATAATTTTTAGGTTTTTTAAAATTATGTACATGTTGTTGTGATTAAGCCAGTGTTGTTTTTTCTCTTAGTTAATCTGACACGTGGGACACTTAGTTTAAAAATATTGCATATATAAATTTATTTTTTCAAGTATTGTATTGTGCATTATCTTGTAATTCATACAGAAATACTTGTATTACTGGGAGAAAAAATATTCTTATTCTCTTTTTTCCTCATTCTTTGTTAACAGGGGTACAAAGGTTGACTTGTTAACCTGTTGTGTCCAGAGCTATGTGAGATGATTGTATTGAATATTGCATGGGAACAGAAATTTAATTTTTCATTTAATATGTTGTTTGGTTTTTTCATAATTGTAGATATTGTATATTTCGAACCATTCCAAAGAATCTAGTTTGCTTCATTTGTTGCAAATGTGTAGAATTTGCAAACTATTTTCTATTTTATCGACAGAGTGATTTGTATCT